GGCAAGACCCTCCGCCAGCAAAATTATGACTGGCTTTACTGCAGTGATCTGGAACTGAACTCACGGTATTTTGGAGATGTGTCTGTATTGTATTTATAACATGAAAATACTAATGAAAGGTCTTTGTAAAATTACCAGAAAAAAAGATAACTTCTTTAAAAGTTGGTTTCAATTATACAAAGTTACCCCCTTGTGAAATGTCATAACTGATTATAAACTGAAAGAGAAAATTTCCATAATGTGTAGGTACCTCTAATCAACCTGCAATTTCCAGAGGGTAAAGAGAAATCCTGTAACCTCCTGGTGGCTACATTATGAAAACCTCATTATTATATCAGACATTTAACATCTATTCCATTCTTTTAACCATCATGACCAATTTTACAATTAATAGCTTCACAAATACATTTAATGCCATTACACTAATTTAACAGGGAGTAATGATGTTCTCTTGGATTTTCCTACAGATTGTATTTGAAAAGCATTTATAAACATCTACACAAATTGTGACCCGCACTTTCTTTTTAAAATAAATATATTTATTGATTTCAGAGAGGAAAGGAGAGGGAGAGAGAGTTAGAAACATCAATAATGAGAGAGAATCATTGATCGACTGTCTCCTGCATGCCCCCTACTGAGGATTGAGCCAGCACCTGGCATGTGCCCTGATTGGGAATCGAATAGTGACCTCCTGGTTCATCAGTCGATGCTCAACTACTGAGCAACACTGGCAGGGCAGTACATATAAATTTAAAAAACAAAAACCAAACTTATAATTCACTTGTTGAAAATGTATAACTCTGAACTGCTTCTAAACTCTCATACCTACAATTGCGCAGTTGAAACGACCTACTATTGAAACCTTTAATAGAAAGAAGCCAGTGATAGGAAGGCCTGTGAAGTTGGGCTTGCGTGATTTCTAAAGGAGTCTTGCTTGATGTAGGACAATATGGAAGCAGGTTTTCCTGAATGGGCAGCCTAGAATATCTAGTCACTGGAGATATATATAATTTTTTTTTTTAAAATCCTCACTCAAGGATATTTTTTTTCATTGATTTTTAGAGAGAGTGGAAGGAAAGACAGAGAGAAATATTGATGTAAGAGAAACACATTGATTGGTTGCCTCCTGCACATGCCCTGACCAGAGTCCCGGCCGGGGAGGAGCCTGCAACCCAGGTATGTACCCTTGACCAGAATTGAACCTGGGACCCTTCAGTCCACAGGCTGACGCTCTATCCACTGAGCCAAACTGGCTAGGTCTCATCACTGGTTATAAATGCAGTGATGCAGGGTATGGCTTCAAAGAGGAAAGTCTCTTTTATCAGCTATGTGGCAAGTATCTCCTTCAAAATTTTTGCTCTACAAAGCCTTCCCAGACCTGCCAGATAGTTTCACTGCGCAGTGCTCCCAAAGCACTGATCTCATTGAGCTCTCTTGGTATTTATCACAGAGCATCATCGTTTTGGTACAGCATAGAGCTTAGTAGCAGTTCCGAGTTGTACATTTTTGGTATACCTCCCTAAATTGTAAAGCCCCTTAAGAACAGCAGAGGCAGATTAAGGGATAGGCAACTGGAAAGCTCAACTTTGAGGAATGCCAATTCATCCCTGGGAGTGTAGTTGTGATGTAGGAAATTCCATCCTTCAGAAGGGTCTTTAATGCTTGTGTGGGCCAGTTTAGTGAGAACTGACTTGCTCAGGACCTCCAAGGAGAGGGCACTGCCTCTAGTCTCATCACCCTTCCTAGGATAATTGCAATATTGGCATTTTGTTGCGGATAATTCTTTGCTGAGAGGGACAATCCTGTTTGTGTCAATGTTTACCAGCAACCCTGGCCTCTACCAACCAGGTACCAATAGTACCCTCTATTTCAGCCGTGGGCAAACTACGGCCCGCGGACCGGATCCAGCCGGTTTGAAATGAATAAAACTAAAAAAAAAAAAAAAAGACCATACCCTTTTATGTAATGACGTTTACTTTGAATTTATATTAGTTCACACAAACACTCCATCCATGCTTTTGTTTCGGCCCTCCGGTCCAGTTTAAGAACCCATTGTGGCCCTCCAGGCAAAAAGTTTGCCCACCCCTGCTCTATTTGCTACAATTAAACATGTCTCTGGAATTGCCAACTTTCCCTGGGAGGTAGGTAGGGCATAAAATCTCCTCAGTTGGGAACCACTACTCTAGATAAATAGTCAAACAATTTATTTAAAGATTGGAGGCTTCAATAGGCTTAAATCTCTGGACAACCTTGATTGCCACATGCTTTGACCAAGCACAAAGCAGTGATTTCATGGATAATATTCATCTTTCTGTTCCCCTGCAACTAGAAGCCTCCATAGCATATAGCAGGTGCCCATACATTTTTTTTTGTGTGTGTGTGAATGAATGAATGAATCAATAAGTAAATTGTGTGGAAACAATTTTATTAGGTAAGATATTGCCTGGAACAATAGAGGAAGCTTTATTAACAACAGCCACAGCTATTTTGATCGAGAATCTGCTATGATACAAAGCTGAATACCAGAGGCTGTAAACTAAGACACAGAGCTGGGAAAACACATATAAGTATTGATAAAATAAAGCTAGGATTGGAATCAAGTATGCACATCATGTAGTCAGCGCAGAGGGTTAAGAAAGAGATTCAAACCAGACAAGAGGCTCATACCAGACAAAGGACAAACCAAAGCTTCCAGAAACTTAAAGAAAAACCTTTAAAGAGGTTTGCTCTTTGAGAAGATTAGTTTTTTTTTGTTTGGTTTGTAGGTTCAGTTAGAAATACGTTAGTTATGCAAGGATGGCTCATTGTACCACAAAATATCATCTTCTTTGTGCCTGCTCAAGGACTTGGTAAGAGAATTTGCCCTGAAGGGCTCTGATGCTGTTCTGGAAACAGATGACATCAGTCTGCCTGGATACTTCAACCGCCAGAGATAAGGACTGTGAGTTAAGCATCCTAAGGTCCGATTTTTGAGGACATGAAAACAGCAGCTAAACAAATTCAAAAAGAGGTTGGCAATTCAAGGAAAACCTCTTCTTGACCCAGAACCTGAAATGGTTTGGCAATTTCACAC